CAACTGTGTTCAGTCTTTCTTCAAATTGGCAGAATGATTTCTGAAGGATCATGTTGCACTGAAGACTAAAGTATAAGTTTATCCATCACAGGAATGAATTACATTATATAGATTTTGACTAGATCTTAATTTTTCCATCAAGAGGGGCATACATTTTTTGGTCAATGCAAGAGTCGAGCACTCTATAAAGTCCTCTCTAGCAAATCCCAAAGACTTTAAGGTCTGGACTTAAAGGTGCCAATTCATGTATAGAACCATTCTTTCACAGTTTGAGCCTGATGAATTTTGACATTGTCATCCTGGAATATGGCAATGATACGTCTTCCTACATGGTTGTTTAAGAAAGAAAAAGCTACACACTCCATCAATTAGGATTTGAAGTACTGTTTCCAAACATATAACATGCTAAAAACATATTAATTACTGAAATAATGATCTAAATAGACTCTTAAGGATTTGCCTGTTTAAATCCAAATGAGTAATTATTATTTTGTTTGGCTGAGAAGTGTATAAAAGTATACATAGTTCCCACATGACGTCACAACATACGGGCATTTGCCGATCCGGCGCCATTGCTGAGGGCAAAACATTAGCAGAAGCAATACGACTTGAACGAAGTGAAATGAGTTTCGTGCTATAAAGTGAAAATGGTCATCTCCTGCTGGGTCAATGGATGATAAAATCGTGCCGGAGGTTCAGTTAAATCGGGATTTTACACTATACCCGTCATTAGACTCCGTATGGATGAAGCTTTTGTCCGAACAACGACGGAGATTATGGCTGGCGAGCATAAACAGGAAAGAAACTCGCTCAAAACACGCAAGAATTTGTTTGACAAAAGCACAATGTTGTGTTTTATTGCTAGTGTAAACAAATATAAGTTAACACATTGCAGTTTGAATAATGTCCTGTATGAAGTAAATGACGAGGTATTAAAAACATACAAAACAACATTGTTTCCACTGTTTGATCTCACATTTCAGCATTGCAATCTCAGATTATGTCCCTAAAGATCCCGCGTATAATGTAGTTCCGCATTACATTAATTAAATTGCACGCAAGTTATTTATTTTTATATTCATGCACCGAACCATGACGCCCGCAAGTACATGCATATTACAGAAAGCACCGGTGACTGTTTTAAGGGGAACATGGGAATTAACTTGTGCAGGCTATGGCTTTTTTTAATAGACAGATTAGCATCATGCTACTTCGCTATGATGACTAAGTTACTTTTCCATCGATTGCACTTGAGCAAACGTCACCAAACCAACCCCACGTCAATCTGATCGTACACCTCCAGTGTTTTCCAGGCTCAGAATTGCTTACATGTGTAAAAACTCCTCACCAATACCAGATAATGGTACACATGAAAATACTGTATCTGAGGCAAAGTTGCATAATCAGTGCTCAGTGCTTCCTTCGTTACTGCATACGGATCCACACCATTTATGAATGAAATATTTGCATTGTAGCTCTCTCTGTCTTCATGATTTGCATAACAATATAAACAGAAATAAATATTTGTTTGTAAAACGACATTCTCTGATAAAACTTTGTAAACGCCTATGGTAAACACAGCGGTTTTGCCCTCAAAGATGGCGTCTCCGGGGAGGTCACGTGACATTAGTTCACCTGTGGGAACTATGTATAGTCTGTATCTACAGTATCAGCAGGGGCTAACTATCCCATGCTAACTTTCCCATGCTAACTAGCCAAACTTTAACCCTTTGGAACCTACAAGGAATGCTAGAGAGAAAGAATGTGATAGAATGGGAAGAAGGGATTATAAGGCTGTTTTTCAAACTCTCATTCCCACTGCCGTTGCCACGGTCTAACACACTGAAATACTGAGTTTTGAGGTTTGGTGCGTTTCCATGCAATGATGCCATTCACCACACTTGTTCACAGCACAGCGTTTTTCCACAGGCTCTTCTGCACGATCTGCCTTTTCTCCCCATGCAATTCATTACAGTTTCTCGGTGGTCAACAATGAATGTTGCATCAAAAATGAAATTGCACCCCTGGTTGCCATTTAACCGGGTGTGTCTGTTTATACTTTTCATTACATTTTGCATGATTAGTAACAGAAGTAAATTTTACATGGCATTTCATGCAGTACCCTTCCTCATGTAGATGATTATTTAAATTTGAAGACATTTCTTAAATGAAAACATCCAAGGATAGATGAAGATTGTTGTTTGGAAATGTTGACTGTTTTTTGGGTCTGTTAGTGCAGATTGTTGTGGTGCTGCTGCAGAGGTGGCGAATGCAGGTATTTGCTATTCTCAGAGTGTCTCGCCAAGTCGCTCTCTCCATCTCCCTCACCCTCCATCTTTTGCTTTCTCTCTATCTCCACCTTACTCTCCATCTCTCTCTCTCTCTCTCTCTCTCTCTCTTTATATCTTTTCCTTTCTCTTTCTTCCCCCCTCCGTCTCTCTCCCTTGCCCTTTCTCTCTCTCTTACTCTCTCTCTCTCATCGGGAGACGCCTGTGGAATATAGTCATCAGCATGAATTTTTTTCCACTCTCCGAAAGAGGCAAACCCTAACTAACATGTAGTCAGCTGTGCAGTGGCTCTGTCTTTCCCACAAAAAAAAAAAAAAAAAAAAAACAGCATGAAAACATCACCTCAGCTTTGGCATTCCACTCTTCAAAGTCTTAAAGGAACATTTAACAATCACTCACGACAATGCTTATATTCAAATGCAGCAAGTGATTCATTTTCATATATATATTATCCAACATGTCGCCAAGCAGATGTATTGGTATTTAAAAGAAGATGTTGCCAGAGCTATTGCCATAAACATGACTCAGCCATGCCTCATGAACCAAAGAAGGAGGCTGGAGAGCGTGGAAGAACATTCCGGATAAACATCACTTGTGTAATGGAGATGATGTGGTTAGTTGTCCTACACAAGCCTATGGTGTCCTTGTTGACCTAGTATCAGTATGCGCCCTTATACATGCTGTAAATCAGAACCTCACAACCTGACATTTTTCAAAATACAAGTCACTTTTTGGAAGTTCAAATAAGATCACAAGATCTGTATGCATGCATGTATGAAATAAAGTTTAAAATAACATTTTTTTGTGTGTTTGTGTGTAGATAGGATGAAATTCTTAATTTAATTGATTCAATTTTACTTTATTGATTCATTTGATTAGCTTTTTCATTTAGTGTTCATGCTGACAAAATTTGCAGCATATTTCGTCTTATTCTCACTCTCAGTGTCATAATTAGATTGAGAAAAATGGCTGCTATTATGAAGTGTAATATTAACTAGGCTAAGTACATTTTTAATGCTTAATTACACCTTAAATGGTGGTCAAAAGGCACAGAATGAACTCTGTCTAAAAATGTCTAAACACAACACAGGTGAGGAGTGATATTCGCCATTCGCTTGATGAGAGCATTTTTGCGGTTTTTCCTATTGAAACAGGATTTTAATATAAGAGAAGAGGAGCTAAGTCCTACGTTAGGTGAACTATTCCTTTAAGTGGAGAAAATGATTACAGAAGTCCAGCTTACGTCACCAAATTGAAGTCTGTCATGAAACACAAGAAAAAAGCGGAAACATGGATGAGACATGGATGAATCATTTACAATAATAAAATGCATTAACAACTATATTCATTCCGTGCAGACTTTAAAGGGCTTGTGTCCCCCTTTTTAAGGGCCAAAAGGCATAGTTGCATCATTGCAATGAACCACGATTTGCTACTTTCTATATATTTTTTATATTAGTGCAAGATAAATAAATATTTTGGTTGATTTTCCTGGAATAAATGAAAAATACCATTTTAGATTTGTATTTCTGCCAAACATATTTTATATGTGTATTTCTGGACTAAAAGCTACTCTCTAAACTCCCAGGCAGCAACATAGTGTTGGCCCAGATCCGGCCCAAATCTGGTACACATGGATTCGACATGGCCCAGATGTGGGCCAAATCTGGCCCGACACTATGTTGCTGTCTGTGAAATTAGATATTTTCGGGTCTTTAAATTTAAGTCACAACGAATTTTTTTCAGAGAAAAAAAAAAGTGTCTATGCACACTTCAGAATCTTGCCGAAAGTAGTAGGTCATTCGGGTACTTTTTGTCGACTCTTTTAGCAGGCTACTTTATTCGGACACACCTTTTTGTCACATAGCCTACTGTTTTTCGCCTAATTAGTAAGGGAAATATACTGTATGATTTCGGATCATGCAGCCATAGGTCCCGTCCACACTATTGCGTTTTCGTTTAAAAATGGAGAGTTAAAACGAATACGATCTCCGTCCACACCAGCGTATTATCTGCGTATTAGAATAGATCTCCGTCCACATTAAAACGACTGAAAACGCGGATCACGTGACCATTCACTAACACTGGGCATGCGCGTGCCAGTGTAAACAGTGGCTGACGAATCAGGGAAGGATACGTCATGACTGATGACACCCAATCATAGAGCCGAGCATCAGCCTCTGCGTCATCGTTTCTAAACGCCTCCAGTTTGTCCCGTCTTCACTAAAACGCCCTCCGGAGATTCAAAACGTAAAACGGAGCTGCAGCATTTCTAAACTTCTCCGTTTTAGGTCTTCGGGTTTTTCCGTTTTAGTCTGGACGGGAGGTGCAAACATAGCAAAAGGTCTCCGGAGTAGTGTGGACGGGGCCATAGTCACATTGTTTTAAAGCCCAACCTGAGGTGGGACTATATCATTGGTCTGGCCTCTTCTTTTGTCAAATAAACATATTTATTGCTGAAACATATATATTTACAATTATTTCTAATTCTATTGAGAATGCAAATATTAATATCTAGTAATAGTGCTCTGCACGTTACATATTTTAGTTTTCAGTTAAAGTTTGTCACTTGATTTACACAGGTCTAGAGTACAACAATCATACAACGTGCCTTCCCCTTTAAAAAGCCCCTCCTTTTCTCCACAGCAGGGGAGGGTGAGCATAATCCTGGAACAGCGATTGAAAAAAAAAATCCACCAGTGGACTGTTTCAAGTTCCCCCTGTAGAAACTGTGCCTGATTTGTGGCCAATGCTGGAGATGTACGAAAAGGGAGGAAAACACTAAGCGGGTAGCTATGGAGATAGACCGTTTTCCTGGCCGCTTCCTTTGACAGGTGTTGAGTAGGTTAAAAGTCTTCAAACAGAGTCCACCATGTACGCCAAAGGGAAAGGAGCTGTCGTTCCATCCGATAGTCAAGCCAGAGAGAAGTAAGTGAATTTGTGCGTTGTCACATAAAGAGTAAAAACCTGCACGTTCTCTGATGTCTGCGCTGTATTGCACGAGACGGCTAACGTTACCAGCAGCGACACTTTACAAAGTAGTTTATTTGCAGGGTATGTGCAGTGCTCGTTTAGCTGTTTTGATATTGTTTTTGTTTATGCGTGCTGCTTGTACTCGCTTTAACGTTACTTTGTAATGCGTTCAGGTAGTAGGTTTTATATGAAGATGTGTACCATGCAGATGCAGAGTTTGTGGAGGGTTCGTTTAAATGAATGCATGATGCTCTGATGCCTCTTGTACACGAGACATACACAAATCCCACAGACCAAGACCTTGCACGAGCAGCTGTACAGACTAGTGTAATTAAATAGTTTGATTTGATGAGTTTATTCGTGACATGGTAGTTGTTTTGAATTAGTTTCAAACACACAGAGCTACTGTTTGTCATTGATCATCATACTTCCACTTTAAGTTGTCATAAATTGTCTGTTTTCTTAAATTGATTTTTATGTGCTGGTGTCTTTGTTTGTTGTCTTAAATGTACAAAGACATTCAAGTAATGATGCTTTGTAATGTATAGCATATTATGTTTACAATGTGGTTTAAACATTTCCCCACAATCATTAAAACCCTGTAAATCTTAGGAGACTTAAAAAAGTATGACTTCCACACAAAGTCAGATATTTCTTTTTGGCTTGTTTATAGTTTTTCTCCAATGGTTAATACGCTAGATTTTGGTCTTATTGAAGACATTTGTAGATTAATAAATTGAATTGTCTAGATTATGCATTCAAAGGCACCCTCTCTATGAAAATCCTCATCTGGTAATTTATGGCTTTAAAGGTCATGGAAAAGTCAGTGTAAATTCATGGGTTAAAAAATGCGAAAACCTCATTTAAAAGCAAACAGTTTTATATCTCGTCTAGATCTAATGCAGAACAATCATGTGGCGGGCGGTCAATCCTTTACTGGTTTGTAAGGTTGTCCAAAAGTTGCTTTTAGTTCAGCATATACCATAAGTGTCCATGGTTAGTTTATGACAGTGTTGTTCTTATACTTGTAATTTTTGACTAGTTACTTGGGTCTGCATCTGTGATCAGCTTCAGTTGTTCTGTTTAAACCTCTAATTCAGGTTGCGCTAATAGTGTCCACTCAGAATTATGAGATGCTTCGTTTTAGTTAGCGGTATCATGGATGTTAAATGTCTAGAAATGGCTTGAATGTATGATTCACCTTTGCAAACATAATTCCTGCTGCTGCTGAACTCACACTCACAATGCAGATTGTATTCTCAGTAGTCGAGAGTTTCTATACTTGGTAAAAAAAAGTTAAAATTACAACTTGTAGCAGAGCATTAAAACACTATAAAATGGATCCATCGAAAGTGCACCGTCTCTGGCCCAAGGAGCAGATGGATTCTGAGTTTGGCAGTGTTGATGCAAGGATGCTGGGCTTTGGTTTTTCATCAGAAACTTTTTAGGAACTTGTCATTTTCACCCTTTTCTCTCGTCTCGCACGTCTGTGCTGGGTTAATAATTGATAGGAGGGTTGAAAACATGATTTTCAAACAGTGCCTTTGTAGGACGGTTATGTGTGATTCATTCATGTTTAAAGATGGTTTTATCAGAGAGCCTCAGGCGAGATGTCAGGTGTGCTCAAGGCATACATTTGGCTGATTTCTTTGATGTGAGGACTCCGTGTGGGCTCTGTTGTGATGAGAGCAGAACGTGGGGACCCGTTTATTTCTGGCAAAGCATTTAGAGACTTTCCTTTGGAGCTTTCATAAGCTGATTTGTCCTTACCTTGGTTCATGTCTAATGAAAAATGTCTCGTCCCTGGCCTGAGCGAACCCTTTTAAATGAATGTTACTTTTACCTTAAAACTTATTTATTTTTCCTCATGTCATTCCAAACTGTTATGCTGGTAATTGTTATATGGAATGCACAAAAGACATTTGGAATAATTTCCAAGACCTGTTTTAATTTCCATACAGTTGGAATGAGTCTGCCAAGCTCCAAAACGTTGTAATTGTATGAAACTAGTCCATGGTGGTTTAGACTTTTCTGTTTTCAGTTTATTTCGTTTTAATATTAGTTTTAGTTTTTTTTTTTTTTTTTTTTTTAGGGATGCCAAAGTTACTGCAAGTTACTGCTATCTAGTGGCGTTTTAATGTTTTGTTTTTGCAGGTGGTAATTATTTAAGTTTTCATTAGAAAATCAATTTGGGTCAGTATAAATGTTATAAAGTGTCTTGTTCTCAACATTTAGCTAGTTGATAACTACAATAATCTGAAATATTAATACAATTTTCTATTTTTATTTTAAAATGTAATTTATTCCTGTGTAGGCATCATTGCTCCAGTCTTTCAGAGTCGCATGACCCTTTAGGAATCATTCTAATATGCTGATTTTGTGCTCATGGGAAACATTTCTTATTATCATCAATGTTGGAATCAGTTGTGCACCAAGCAGCTTACAATTTTTGTGGAAACATGATTCATTTATTTTAGGATCATTTTGATAGAAAATTCAAAGAATAATAACACTGTTTCTGAAGCCAGAGTCATTTTTCAAATCAAATAATTCATTAAACTCCGTTTTCATGATGTCTGGCCACAAGAGTCGAAACCCATGACGCTTGATGTTACTGGCATCCAACATGCTCCCATATGATTTGAGACAACTAAAAGGGATAGTTCACCTAAAAATGAAATTTACCCCATCATTTACTCACCCTCAATCCCTCGGAGTACAGAGCCGTGTGGACTTTTATGAAGGATGGGTGCACTTTTTTTTGGCCTTCAAAATCATATCCTCTATTCACTACAATTTTTATTTATTTATATAACTTAGACTCTATTCGTCTGAAAGAAGAAAGTCATACACCTGGATGGATTGAGGGTGAGTAAATCATGGGGTATTATTTATTTTTGGGTGAGCTATTCCTTAATGGCCCTTTCCCTTCTCTTAAAGGAAGGGGAAAAGGACTAAGTACTATTGCACACCTGCATTATATTGTAGGCCAAGAAGTCTGACCTGTGTTTAATGTTCCCACTTCCCAGACTCCACACAGCGCTACAGGGAGTCATGGTGAGGCTATTTTGCAGAAAGACCTTCTGTTCCAGCAGTACCGTAACATCAGCTCTTTTTACCTCACTCGCCTCAAAACAAACCTACCTATACTGAACTACTCCTCCAACATCACTTGAGTTAGCTCTTGTGAACACCTCCGTTTGGCAAGACTTTCTCCCAGAGGGAGAACAAAAGGGAATGGGGCTGAGAGACTCACGAGTTGTTCCCCTGGGCATCCCCTCCAGCAGACCTTTTGAACAGGGAGGCTGAGCTCTAAGACGGCATGTCGCAGGCTCCCGATGCCCCAGCCAGTGACAAGATCTCCACCACCCTCTCGCCATCGCCATAATATGCTTCTTTATGTCCTGTGCTCCTCTGGAGAGAGCATACAATTTAGATTTTGCTGATCAGGTTTGCATACATTAACACCTGCTCTCAGCCATTTGAATTTTAGAGAGCCTGGCATGTAAAGCCAAGCCAGATGTCTTTGAATGGTGTGTAAATATATAATAGAAAATATTTCTTTTTTAGCAGTACATACCAGCTAAGGCAATTAGTACTAAAACTATTGCTTATAGATTTCAAATGAAGTTTTCTTACAAACTTCAGCACATAGGCCTAACGTTTCTAAAACCATTTGTGCTTCGAACATAAACCTCAGATTATGCGGCTTGTTGAGCAAAGGTGGACTTATTCAAAGTGATGCAGGGAGTTTTCAGACCTGTAGATCATTTACTTTGTTCCAAAACACAGATTTTTTTGTTTCAATGTAGCATTTTCTTCTGTTCGGTTCACTTTCACAATTTCAAAACGTACCAAAATGTGTTTATGCAAGTCACATGTGAGTAGAACTTTCCTCTTATTGGCCAGAGTCTGACAAGTTCGCTCAATGAATCATGTTAAAAAGGCAAGAAACATGAGATGTGCTAACTGGCAGAAAAAGTAGGCTAAAATAAAAACGTGCATGCAGTTCGGTCAGGAATCAAGGCTTCGTCGGGTTAGGATTCTTGCAATGCACGGAGAAGAGTAATACACAGCACAAAATTTTTTTTTCTCTCCATACAATGAAAATCAATAATGTGAAATGAATTCTGCATTATGCAAAAGAAAAAAGAAAGATATAAACTTAATGATGAAAGAATTGAAGCATCCAATTGAAGCATCCTTTTAACTTAACTACAAAAATGTGCCCAGAAAACATCTGGGCAACAGCATAGATACATACTTTTTTTTTTTTTTGAAAAAACTTTCAGATCATGTTTGCATCCACATTGCAACATGCTAAAATCCTTCAGAACACCCTATCAACCGCATTGCAACGTCCTTAGGACCACCCACAACACCTTGCATTGTGGGAACGTGTTTTGCATGTGGATAGATCATTCAGATTTTCAGAAAATGTAAATATCAGGCTTTTCTTGTTGTATTATAAAGGTTTTCTTGATTTTGATAATTAACTTAAGCATAATCTACAAAACACGTATTCTAATTTTCAAATACTACTTTGTAATGATATAAAACAGATCTGTATTGAGGTTGTTGGTAAGAATGTACTTGTTAGCGGGCTGAAATTGCTGTGATTAACTTATCTAATGAACTTGATCTAATTTATTTTGGCCGCATCCCAGCTTTGCTTGTAGTGTCTGCTCTCTCAGCAAGGCCAGACGCTGCTTCTTGCCCGCACCTCAGGAATGCGTCCCATCAGCTGTAATTCCTTGTTCCCATTCCTCTGTGATGTCTTAAATTGCTCGGTCCTTCGGAATCCAGAGCTCCTGTTCTTGGCTCTCGCACTCAATGTTCCTGACAACTCTCCTTAAAGGTGCAATTGAATGAATGGTGTTCAATAATGCATCAGGGCCAGGTGCTGGTACCCTGTACCAATGCTCACAGTACCCTCCTTCACCCTGATCACATGG